GTTATTTTTGACTAATTTAAGGTTTTACATAATAATATACATATTGTGAATAATGTTGTATTTAGTTCTGATGTTCTTCAAAATGTACTTGTAAAATGTATGCACAAAAGATTTCCAATGAAATACAAATTTTGTATTGCCATAATGTTATTATTCCTAATAACAATTGAATATAATCATTGCTATACTTGTATATGTATATTACTTGTATTTAGAAATAATAGCAATAGTTCGCAACAATAAAACTGTTAGGTCCACGCGTCGCTCGACTATATAATAATTATCGCAATCCGCCTCAAGTAAATATCTCGGCAAATAGCGCTTGATTATTTCCTAGGAGTGAGCTGTGCGCGAAACGACTGCGCTATCTTAATTCGACTCATTAGACCTCACGAGCAAATCTGCTTTGCATAAATTTTATAGTAGAAATTGCGCGCATAGGCAAACTGTTATAAATTAAGGCGACACGAGCCATTCAACATCAGATGGACTAAGTTTCTACTATTTAGTTTAATAAACTTCATATACATTAACATTGACGAAATAAATTATAATTGCCTTGACATAAAAAAATTGCGGTCGCCATCATTACTAAGAAGTTTGGCGTTTTTTTTGAAAAATTGTTTTTAATACTTTATATGCGTTGAAAAATGTATATAACAGGTAAATATGTAAATATAAGGTAAATATTTACATATTTACCTGTGTTAAAACTTTTTTTAAAAATAAGGTCTTTTATAGATTTAGTGCTACCAGAAACATAAATAAATGTTCACACATCCTCAAGCTGTTCATTAAAAACCTAACAGATGGCTTCAACTTATCTTTGTCACAAAAAATGTTAACCTATTATTGTTCTTGAGTCCACAGCTCTACGCATTGTCACCCTTTCGGCCACATGTTTCCAATACAGAATAACGGAGCAATTGTTTTTGTAACGACTTATAAATCAAGCGGGGAAGTTTTACGAATTAGAAACAATTAAAACATCGAGGCAAACAACAGTTGTTGCGAATGTCCCCCGCTATGGCGCGACCATTGCGAATTACGGGGTTTTGGGGCTATACGTCTTAGTCCGAAATACTTTACGACTAATAACTTGCGCAATCCTTTTTCAACTTTCCGGAATGGTGGTTGTAGGGTGGCCATCTGTCGAAATTTCCTGGACCTTTTAGTGTTTGGGCTTGATTTCATACAGAAAAGCGTTGCTGGGTTGTAATACTCGAAAATATAATTTAGAGCATATAATTTTGAAAAAATGCGTAGGATACATTTAAGAATTCCATTGAATCTCACATATTGCGTGTAAAAATTGCAATTAACTATCGTTAGTTGACTTTTGCAGACAATTATTTTCACTACAAACCAACTTTTTCGCACCATATGTAACTATCCCGTATCGAAACCCTTATATGGTACCACTAATTGTGAAGAAGGGGTGCGTTGGGCGAGTTTCTTTTGTTTGCGACACGTGTTACAAAACGGGTCGAGGCTGACACTTGTTCTCGAGAATCTCGGGAACGACTCAAGTTGACTTCTTTTAAGGCTTTCGCGCTCCTTTTTACTCTTCGATGTGAATAATTTAGGAGGCGAATTGCTTGCATTGCTGGACTGTTGAATTATTGAAAAATACGGAGAACTTTTTACTTGTTAAGGGCCAAGTTTGTAAGTACAAGCAAGTGCTTTCAGATGTTAATAAGCTCGACATGCTAACTTCTTCGAAATTTAAGACCAATTCGAATTGATTTTGACTTCGTTTCGCTCGAGTTTCGTTTACATGTTCGCAAATGTGTCATTAAATCAAACAAAATGTTGTTAGTAACATAGTTTCATTTGTTAAACAAATTTTGTTTATGATGTAATTCAGTTAATACACCGAAGAAAGGAAACATTTGTTGTTAATTAAGTTATTGTAATACAAAGTAAAGTAAACTATGTAAAGCATATTTCGGTTCTTTAACTCCGATGTAGACGCACCCCAACAAAATCGTCATCATCGTGCCGCGGAATGTTCCGGAACAACGTTGCGTCAACGCCAATGACATTTCATATTTTCGTCTCGCGGAAACATTTGACGTCATTATATCGCTATTAAGGCCTTTCCCCGACATAACACATATTTTTTGCTATCCGCGAGCCCCGCCCACGTCCGTAATGAAGTTATTTGTGTCACGTTTATCGCTTTTATGGCGCACACCGGATTTCGTGGTGAATTTACACGGTGCAAATTGACACTGAAATAATAGCGCCTTAATTAGTGGCACACGTGGTGTCTGAAGCGCTTTTTGCGTGATTTCTTTCTCGCTGCGGCTACCCGAATAACCGGGGCCTGCCTTCTCTCAGGGCGTCGTTAATCTGATATGAGCGTTTCTTTTTACCGAATCCCTTTAAATTGACCGGGAAAGGAAGTTTCAAGCTTAAGTTGGGTCTTAATTGGTACAGACGAAATGTAATGTTACATCCTTATCCTTTACCGCTCTTATGTAGGTAGAGAACGTATAAATTTAATACTACAAGATTATAATGAAATATAACAGAGAGCTTTAAAAGTTGTTAATTGTAAAGATACTTATTAACATGTTGCAGACTACGGCAGACCTTGTTGTTTTTATGTATTCAGTACTGTTATAGAGTCGTGGTGGTTCTTTGTCCGGGTGCTCGCTTTCAAGTCAATGTACTCGAGCAACCGGAGTTCGAATCCTGGTACAAACAAAAATATTTTTTTTTTAATTTTAAGTGCTGACCGAAAGTATATGAAGTCCGCTAATCCGTAGTGGGGTCGCGTGTTGGACCATGCCCTAATACTGTCTTTACAGAGGAGGCCTTTGCCCAGTAATGGGACATATATTATTGTATTTAGCGGGGAGGAATTTGAAAGTCCGTTTTCCCATGAAGATCCGTTCTCCGATTTCGTAAATCTCCTTAACGACTTTCCAAATGAGTCTCGCTATCAAAACCCCTTAATACTGTCACGTCCGCGCACGCGTATAATTCAAGCATTATCTTTGGCCGCGATTCGTTATTTATTTACTAATTAAACAATTGCATTTAAAGTTCCGTTTGCGTTTTACAAAAGCAACTCAATCAACATAAATAACGGGACTGTGTAATCTCTTAGCGACCTGCGCTTTCCGTAAGGCAGGGAAAGGCCCTTCAATACTTACGTGGTACTCCCGGAAGGCTTTTATTGCTTAGGTAATTGGAGTCACTCAATTAACCACTACGACGGCCCGGAGAATTTTTGTTAATTATTAAAAAGGTTGCACTTAGCTCCGGCGCGGGGAAGACGTTAATTATGGCCGGATAAAGAAAATAAAGAAAAGACTCGCTTTAAGAACTCTCTTTATTTAAGCCGTAGAAAGTTCTTTTCGTAACCTCAAATCAATACAATAGAAATTTTGAATATCGTCTGAAAAAAGGTTTTTTTTTACTGTCTAGGAACAGTTTGAGAAAAGTTTTCAGACGGTTTCTACACTAGGTACTCCAATCTGCAGCATGTAGATGACTGTTATATATTATATTATAATATAATATATAGATTTTCAAAGTATCTATAAACATTTACATGACATAATTTAATTCGTTTGTTATATAATAATTATAATTATAATAATACTTTATTTGCCATAACCCAAAAACAAAAAGAAAAATAACAAAAAAGAACAGAAAATGAACAAAAAAAAAGATATAAAACCAACTATGATACACAAAAAAACTATATAAATAACATTTTGGCAAAAAAGTAATAAGCTCAGCGATATCTGAGAATTTCTCAGTGCTGATTTTCAGCTTATCCCTTAGTAAAGGTTTACATCATCATTTACAAAATAAATTAGCGGTAGTTGGCGTATTTTGTTCAAGTTGTATTTGATAATGTAATGTAATAACGATAATAACACAAATGAAGAAAACTCAAAAGAAGATTTAGACAAGAGAACAAAAAAAATCAAATACAGTGAAAAATACGATGTGAAATAAAAATTTGATAAATTAAAATTAAAAGATAGTCACTAAGTTAAAATTAGTATTTAATTTTGCTTTAATATTGATTTTGAACCGAACACAACTTTTGTTAATTGAACAAGGAGAGCCTGAGTTGTTTTGTAAATTTATAATTCGACACACTCATTCGTAGTGGTGGTGGTAAATCCTTCCATATCTTTGACGCGCTAAATCGGAAACTACTTTTGAAACCCGCCCCTTTATGATATCAGTACTTATATCAATTTTAATATCTCTAGACATATACTATATGCATGGCTTAAATTAATTAATTCCGTAAACGCCAAAAGTGATGAATGTATGTATGTTTTTACTACAAAGCAGTTCTTTCCTCTAGTCTCACGACCCCATTGAAGTGTTTTTCAATATAAGAGCTCAGATAAGCCGACTCCAGAGAGCCGTGTGGCCCTTTATGTCTCTGTACTTGAGATAATTAAGCCATTAAATTGGTTGGTAACCCCTTTCACACTGTGAGAAGTGCGCACGAAACGAAACCGAATTATTTTTGTATCACTCTCATTACCGAGCGATGCCTTTGAGTGTTTAAAATCCACCGCAGCTTCTTTTCAAAGACTAAATATTTCGGTGATTTTTTATCAGGCATATACTTGTAACTGCAGAATTATTTAGGTACCAGTATTTAAGTTCAGGGCGGACGTACCTGCTAGAATTTAAATTTGTATGCTGTCATTTTGTAATTTATGAAAAGCTTTTACCGGAATGTCACGTTTAATGGCACCGGTTCGATGCTTAAAATCTTCATTCTTCATTATTATGCGGTTCCTCGGACATTTCTTTTTTTTATTCACCTCCGAACATTACGTCACACCACGCGATCGTACAGTAAGCGTATCCCTTCCGCGAAGCCATTATGTATATTACTTTAAAAGTGCGCATAAGAAATTGATCTTGCGAAATGAGCGCATTGATTGGCCGCCCGTTATGTGGTGCCCGGCGATCTTGACACCCTAAAAAAAGCAGCACGAAAGCATCCCAGCATGGGCTCGCGAGCCTATACATTAAGAGCACGCAAGCGGCGGAGCAACAAGCCCCGATACATAACCGAACCGCCGCGGGTTCCATTCCGACAGGGTTGTCGTGCTCGTTTCGAAACGCTCCGACAGACCGTCCAGATTGGATTTTCGAACGCCAATTAACCAAATTCGCCGATCGCTTTTTAAAGTTCAACCGCCGATCGATTCGAAGTTTCACTGACCGACTGAGCAGATGCTAAAACATCTTTGGCTGGTTTATGCGCGCATATCAATTTTAGATTGATGTATTAGTGCTATATTAAACATAGTTCGGGCACCGCCAGTAAATACTGAAAACTTCCATGTTACGAATGTTGTGACGTATTAGCTTTGATCTTTTGTATAGAGTACGATTTGATCTTATCCCACGCGCCTGTACGTAAGCTATATTAATCACTTTTGCGTGGCGCATTAATTTCGCTGATCGCTTGCGGCGCGCCAAAGGCCGCCCCGGCGTCGTTTATCAACATCGACGTCCGAGCGAAATGAAGCTGTCGTCACGAGCAATTGTACCGCCATTTCAACTAAGACTCGCAGGACAAGCTCCCCATTCAACGATCAATACTCGAAATGCCCTGACAGTGGAGAAATCAACCACTCTTTTTTTCGTTCTTCCAGACACAGCGTGCGTTCGTCGACTGAGCGTTTAGCTAATTAAGATCTTGTCCTTTGTTGCAGGGGCGAATGGCCTGAGGAGGCGGGGCCGGCAAACCTACACCAGATACCAGACGCTAGAGTTAGAGAAAGAGTTCCACACGAATCACTACCTCACGCGGAGGAGACGCATAGAGATGGCGCACGCGCTCTGCCTGACGGAGAGGCAGATCAAGATATGGTTCCAGAATCGGAGGATGAAGTTAAAGAAGGAGATACAGGCTATCAAAGAGCTGAATGAGCAAGAGAAACAAGCGCAAGCGCAGAAAGCGGCTGCGGCGGCGGCTGCTGCGGCTGCGGCCGCCGCCCAGGGCCACCCCGAACACTAGACAACCCCGCCCCGTGATATCGTCTCGATGCGACGGACACCCCTAGCTTTGTGTTTTGTAAATTGTTTGTAATTATTTTTCAACGTTGTTTAAGTGTTGTTCGGTTGTTGTGATTATTTTTTTTATAACGAAATGATTAAACGTTTATCCGGTCCCAACTAATGCACCCGACCCGACGTTTCCGCAAAATGAACTGTTTGTTGATAGTGGACGTTAAATTTTAAACGGGTCGTATTATTTGTGTTTCGGGTTTTGTTTTGATTATTATTTTTTTGACGCTCTCTTTTTTGTTGATTTATTGATTCTTTTTAAATTATATTTTAGTTCGCGCTGTCGTCGTAGATGTTCGCGTGCGGAAACCAGTGCAATTTGTAGGAATCTCTTCCGTGTATCATAGTGTAGGTGTATCGTAGTGCGTTTTACATTGTTTTCGACTGCAAAGCCCCCGGCTCGGCGGCATCGGTGAGACGAACTGTTACATTGTACAAATCTAATATGCCTACCAAAGAGACCCGGTCTCCTAACCTTAATTAAAGCTAAGTGAACGAAGTCAAAGTTGATCGACTGTCGCGGATGTTGGACTGAGTGTAAACAAATGACATCCTCCGCGCCATCAACCCTTCAATACTCTCGCATAAGTATAGTGTACTCGTAAACGTGATCGTGTTCCTGCAATTCTTAATAGTCGGTGAAGTTAAACAAATTGCCATAAATATAAGTAGGTATTATTTTAGCCATTAGCGGTGTAAATAGTTAGGGTAATGGGAGTGAGCGGTTCGCGATTGCGCCGGCGCCGCGGAATGGGTAGAAAAAGGCGGAGGGGGGAGCGGGGGTGCAGGGGGGAGGGGGATGCAGGGGAGCGGGGGACGCGGAGCTGGAGGGGAGCGCGCCGCCGGCCACCGAACAGGACTAGGTGAGTTTTTGTCAAAGTCCGCGGCATTATTTATCGAGCGGAGACGGTTGCGAAAAAGCGAGCCCGTCGCCGCCACCGGTCGACGCGCGACGCCATTTTTGAAATCGCCCAAGCGGGACATCTACGGTGTTGCCGTTTTGCAATGTTCCAATCCGTCCCACCGAAAGCGCCTTTGATCTCTCCCGACCGTCTCCGCGCCGTTGCCGGGAATGCATTAGCAAATGGCTGGCAACGACTTCCCTCGCTTGCGACTGTTCTGCTTCACCATTCGATGCTGCTCCACGTTATTTTAAGTTTTAATCGACATTATCATAATCCGCGACGCGCTGAGGGCGAATGTGCTAAAAAACGGTCGCGCCTCAGCTGTGGTTTTATATTTCGTCAGTATGTATAATGACTTCATCGGCTCAGCTCCGAATGGACGGGGGGAACGTCTATTAATTAAATCGACTATGGTCCGTTTCATCTCGGACGCCGTTTATGGTAACGGAGCGATCGGGGACGCTAAAAACCGAATTCCACCGGCGTACGGTCGACAGAAGAAACACCCGCGAATGCCTTTCAACGTATTCGGCCATGTTATCGACGTCGAGAAATGCCGAATAGCTTAGTCCGTATGTGCGTGTCAACTCGTTAAATTAGGATTTGAATCTGATCTCTTAAGAGCCGACCGTGCGTAAAAAATCCCCCGATCGGAATACCGCCCGAATCGATTGAAATCTCAATTTTCTGTTGCGGCGGCAGATTCCTTGGGCGCGATTTCTGCGTAAACGCACAGGCGTGCACAATTACCGCGTTTCAGTGCAGTATAAGTATAATTAGTTTAATGTCGTATAATGATGCAGTTTATAAAATCTAAACTGAGCCTCACTGTTACATTCACAGCACAGTTTTATCATTTTGAAAGTTACGAATAGTTCATTTAGTTTATTATTTAATAGTATTTTGTATAAATTTGGTAGAATAAATCATTTAAGAACTCCTATATCTTTTTTTATACTTTTCCTACTTATATCTACTATCTAATTCACCTATTAACTGTTGTTAACAATGTTAACTTTTTTTTTCTTTCTTCACCAACGATGAACATTTGAACTAAAACTTAGTTACAACCTACAAAAAAAACATAGTTAATTATCTAGTATACAAGTAAAGGTTAATAAAACGTTTATAAAATAAAATATTCATTTCTACAATGTATTTCACCTTAATATAATAGAAAATAAAAGTTTTGGATATGTTTAAATGTATATAGGTAAGCAGTAAGTAATTTATTAATACATATACAACACTATAATTTTTATTATGGTTATTAAACTATTATAACATAATTTTAGTTCTTTAAAACATTCATATCAAGTATATAAATGTGAATATTTATTATATTTAATGTTATTCATTAACATAGAAGTTATAAAAATATTATGAAAGGCCATGTTATATCTAAATAGTTACTGTAGAAACTAGTGAGTGTCGGTCTTTGTTTGCAGTACATTATTTGCCGCCATCTTTCGGGTCCACGACCCGCGCCGCATCTGAGATATCGCTTGTTTAGTCGGTACGAAAAATATTGGTCCTCCGAACCAGCGACGTATCACGAGGGCCAATTTTAACGACTCAATTTCTCAAAAGTATTTCAACGTAACACTTCCACGTTTCAATGTTCGCGTTTATTTTTTAATTTCGCACCTCGCAAACGCTTACGTGGCTGAAGTTCGGCCTTAAAAATGTTGTCCTCATTTAAACGCAGAATTCATAATCATATACTACAGACAAGAAACATTTTTTTATTATATACATATTTTTAAATAGCTCGTTAATAACTTTGTTCTTGAATTAAAAGTAAGGATTTATAAGTAATATTTCGCCAGTGTCAATATAAAAATAAATGTTATCTCTCACAGTATACATACTACGTCATGATTATGATTTTTAATATTGATTTGTGCCTTTACAAATATAATAAATAATTACAGCAATACTTCAAACTCCCACCAATCGAGACAAGTTAAACGCGTCTCATTTCACAGATTAAAAATAAAATTACAGTATCAGAGATAAATATATTACTTTTATAAAGTCGTTGAATCCAACAGAAATGAACCGGAAACCATTTATTTATTATATCGCGCTCCGTAAACGGCGAATGAGGATTTATTTCATACGATTACGTCCATTGTTGAAATTATATGAAACACGTAGACCGTTCTTAATTAGGATATTTGAATAATGCAAGACTTATTAATCACCACGCGGCCGCTGGATATTTTTATTTTTTTTTCTTACTTATCCAATTGATTTAAATTCGACTTGAGTTCCTTATTAAAATATTGCTATTTTATAAGGCTCCCGTTTCAAACCTGTTTGGGTTTTAATAAAAGGAGCGGTTGAGTGCGCGGATGGCGCGTATATCATTATGTACCAACTACGGTCGAGCCCAGCTGCTGGTAGAGATGAGAGATCTCCTTTCTTATGTAGCGGGCGGTCGAGACCCGTGCTGCTGGTAATTTATCGGATGGAATTTTTAACTGTTAAATAAAAAGCCATCCGACGTTCAAGGTGCGCTCGCAAAAACCCCGCGCGTTTCTGTTTATCGAGTGCGCCTATGCGGTTTCATGTAAAGAGAAGCCCTGGGCTCTCACCTTTGGATGGATCTTAGACCCTCATATATAGGAGTAAAAGGATGGTATAAATAAAAGTGAACAATAAACAAAAGAACATAATCTTAGAACTCTATAGATATTGTACTTGATGATGAGATGAGGATTTAAAAAATCACGTGCTCATCGGTGAAGGAAAGCATCGTGAAGAAACCTGCATATTTTCGAAGTAGTAACAAAAAAAATATGTCTCCGTAGTCCGCTAATGTGGTAGCGCGGTAGACTATGCCGTAATACGCTCTGTCCTGAGGAGGTATTTACCCAGCAGGACTTATGTAGGCCGTTACTTTACCTTGCTTTATCTTTAAAAATCGGACCTAATAAGTCCAATGAAACAAAGATCTTATGTAATTCTATAAGATTATCAAGCAATGCTGTAATTTATAACACTTATTTTATATTAAAAAGTATTATTCAATTATATAAGGTATATTAGTTTACCTAATCATGCGATTGCTGTTCTAAATCGTCAAATATTATGAATATTGTCTCAATCATTCGTAGGGTGTTGAACACATAAATATGAAAAAGTTTTACAAAGGAATGATGGGTTAAATACTTTGTCGCGTAAAATACAATAAGATATGCACAAGTAAATTCAATTATTTTCCAGGAATTATTTTTATTAAGCATATTTATTGCGTTATCTTACGCTCATTTATGCAATCATTAACTTGCAGTAAATCCTCGAATGTCTTTTATTGCTTGCATTATGTGCATTAAAATTCATTAACAAACTATTCATAAGATTACTTACAACAACATTATTTTTATTTCTTGTAACTGTATGATCTGAAAATACTTCATCATTTATTGATAAGATAAATGAACTTGTATCGTCAATCTATTAAATGTGAGTTTTATAAATTATGTACCTACAAAAAATAATCAAAACTTTACTATTGGTTATTGATTTTTTTTGAGTTTGTAGAATCGGTAAAAATAAATTCTCTCACTTTATTTGCACCATTAAGATGGTTCAATACAATAAATAGCGTATCGTATTGATGAGTTAACAAAAGGAATCGAACTTTCTCGACGATCCATTTCAGTGCAAACTCCAACGGTTCATTATATACAGCAACTCGCCATACAAAGTAATGTACGGTTTCGTTACCGGGGACATTCGTGCATGTCGATACTATCACCTCACCCGGCGTGCCCCGGCTGAACACGACTTCTCCACTTATATAGCAATTGTATTGCCGAGGAACTTTAATCCTTACGTATAAGCGGATTCTACGAGTAAAATATAGATTTGAAGTTTACGATATTGATTTTGAAAGCTTTTTTTAATCTCTTTCCGTATATTTGAGACCTAAAAACTAAATTTTTAATAATAAATAGTTCTAGGTATATCTAGAACGACACGAAAGATTTATTTCTTAATTCGTATTTAGGTTTTTAAATCTTAAAGTGCTCTG